CAGACCTGAGGCCTTGGGGCTGAAACTGCTACAATAAAATATAGAGTTAATTTCTGTGGATGCATGTGGAAGCAGATATGGAGAGTCAGGAAAGAGGCCTTTTTCTCAGACCTCCTGAGACAAACTTACAAAGTAGCGCATAGTGAGACTGGTGAAAATGGTATTACGGAGCTCCTGCGATGGATATTATAGAATCATGTGGAGAAAACTAATGACACGAGGAGAGAGCTGCAATATCAGGGAAAGGAACTGATCTTTCCTTCATGAACTCACCTTATGAATACTGTAGAACGCCTTAAGGGCTGTAGAATGAAACATCTTTCTGGCATGGATGATGTTCTTCCTGGCTCAGAGCCGCAGGCAGTACATGGAGCCTTAGTGTGATATAAGGACTGATGACTATTAGCAGGCCTGTGTGAAATTGGATATGGTGGGATATTGTAGAATTAAGTGTAAGTAATGACCCAGAGAGAGAGCTATCAGGAACACTTAAAGCAATTAAGGCTGTGCTTATCCTCAGTTTTGTGGACGGCCGCTCCTGGCTTGAAGCTCAATCCTAGCAAGACTGAGCAGCTATTCATGCCGGGAACTACAGGTCCTCATTATGATCTTGCCATCTCATTCGAGAACACTCTGATCGTTCCGTCTGAAGATGCAAGACGTCCCTGTGTGATTCCAACCAGTTATTGATCTCAGCTCATATTGCGAACCTGACTCGGTCATGCAGGTTTCTCCTGTACAGCATCCACAGGATTCGACCCTTTGTCACTCAAGAGGCCGTCCACGTGCTCGTTCAGTCTCTTGTCATCTCAAGGCTTGACTATTGCAACTCGGTCTTGGCTGGTCTTCCCATGCAGACCACAGCTCGTCTTCAATCTTCAGTCTTCAAGTTCAGTCACGTCACTCCACTGCTCCACTCCCTTCACTGGCTTCCTGTAGCTGCATCAGATTTAAAACCCTGATGCCTACAAAGCCAAAAACAGACCAGCTACAGCTGAGCTAAAGCTTAAAGCAGAGCAAAGTAAGTCTGGATATTTGTTTATATTTTTTGTCCTACATCAGCAAATACTGAGACATATTTACAGCCGAGATGGTAAAATGGACATAAAATGTTGTGCCTCCCAAGGTGGTTTGATTTTTGTTCAAAGGACAAAATGGCTCTTTTTAACATTTGGGTTGCGACCCTTGTGCTAGAGAGAGTGTGAGGGAGAAAATGTGTGCCTGAAATCTCTCCTAAAACCTGCTCCACTGTAAAACAATAATCATTTTAATTTGTAAATGTTAGTAAACCAGCTGTTTTGAAATCTCAAGCTCCCTGAACATTCAGTAGTAAGGTAACAGAACAGTGTGTTATTTTCAGTTAACTCATTATTTAAAATACATCAACACTTTGTTTATTAGACCCAATAAACATTTGAATCCCCTTCTGCCCAAAGAAAAGGCCAGATATCTCAGAAACTAAATCCCTCAGTGTCCCTTTTCTTTCCCAGTGGAGATATGACCCCACAGAGTGGCCAGACATCACTTATTTTTGGCTTGTACCATTACCTGACCGATTTACCAGGTAGGCCAAGCTGGTCAATATGACCGTCTAGATAGCTAATTTTAGCTAACGTTGTGATCAAAATGCTCAGCCATAGCTGAATATTAGCACTACTATTATCAATATCCTGATCGATCAGCCCCTCCTTACCTAACGGCAATGGTCAAAACTCGAACTGTACCTCGAGCCCTTCAAACCTCAAGTACAGCTCGGCTCAACCCACCATCCTTCAAGGCGCACGGAAGACAAGCATCAAGACTTTTCTCTGTCCTGGAACCCAAGTGGTGGAACGAACTCCCACTGCCTGTCCGAACAGCAGTCTCTCGTGGTCTTCAAACGCAGACTGAACTCTAACCTCTTTGTAACTAGCAAAGAAACTTTCTCTGAGCAGACAAGTGAGCACTTTTGTACATTGCGCTGGATAAGAGTATCTGCTAAATCTAAATGTTCCACACAGGTCGTTGGAAAAACTGTTTTCCTGCACTTCCTTTTTCCAAGGTGGGTAAAGTCCATCACAGGCTGTCTCCATCTGCCCTGGACACAGCTCATGGTGACCTGCCTGCAGGCTCAGAGCCTCAGGTCACACTGAAACTGTAAATTAGACAGAAGGTTCATGTGGAAGCAGGCATAGTGCGCCAGGGACGAGGCTAGATTCCTGAGTTCCCTGAGAAAGTCTTACAAAATAGCACATAGTAATAGTAGTTGAATGGCAACTCCTATCCTTGCCATGTTCCAGGGATCTAGCTCTTGGCTCCTAATCGTTCAGGGCTTCATGGTGATCCCCTTATGATGCCCATGTTGTAAGTTATAGTAAAATAGGGGTGTCCAACTCCAATCCTGGTGGGCCTACACAGTTTGGTGGTTTACCTACTGAAACTCACCACAGGTTTAGCAGTGGGTCAACAGTAGGAAAAATCCCCAGACTGTGCTGTACCTTGGTCCTCCATGACCGTAGTTCCCCACCCCTGTTGTAGAACCACGTGGAGAAAACAAATGATGTGGGGAAAGAGTGGGTACTAGGGAATTTAACTCTTTTAATCTTGAATGCACCCTTACCAATACATTGGAATGTCCTTGGGTTGCTGTAAGAAATCACCCTTTTAGTTTGGATGGTTCTATAATGACGCTGTCCTTTGGTTTAGGGGGTTCTATAATGAAGTTGTCCTTTGGGGTAGGGGTTCTAGAATAGGCCCTTTTCACATTTCCACATTTTTTTTCTGCTGGAAGTAGTCATTCCAGGGTAACACTGCTTCCGCTAAAGCAACAACAATAACAACAATGACGAGTAGAGCGTGTACAGCTCACTCAACTGTTCGAGCTTGAAGCAAAAACAGCTTATTTCAGTTTCAGTGGTTGGTCAGCTGACCATGAGCAGAGGAAAACGAGTTTGTGTAGTTAATAAAGGAATAAACTTGGTCATACGGAGGAAAAGAACCTCTGTGTCAGCATTTCATCACTTAGAAAGTTGCTGCTTCAGCCGCTTTCAGAGGAACAGTTTTCATTTTCACCCTCAAAAACTGAGTATCTGAGAGAGCGAGTGTTCGGCAGGGAGCAGATGTTTGTAAAAGGGGGCTAACAAAGTATGCAGAGAAACAGATGGACTACAGTCTGTAATTGTAGAACTACAAAGTGCACCTATATAGTAAGTGGAGCTGATAAAATGGACAATGAGTGTAGAAACAAGGTCTTAATGTTATGCCTGATTGGCATATTTGGGGCTTCTGGAACACCTGCAGTTCTTTGGGGCTGAACACTGCAGTATGCATAATCATATTTATGCAATATTATGTATACACACATATATATGTATATACCAGGCTGCTCGAATAGAAGCGACTGGCCGCTCGCCCGTCTTTAAAGTGAATTTTAAACCGAGTCTTACAGAAAATGCTCTACACTTTCTGTCCATATTCCATGGAAACATATCAGACACATGCCACAGCTTTTAATGAAATAATAATTATACTTTAATCACACGGCTCATGTACATTTTTTATACATTCATATTGCATATTCACAACTGACAAAAAGGAACAGCATGAGAACATCAAGTTTCATAAATTAGTGAACACACTTTCACATCTGAGTCGCCTGGTGGTGCCTTTCATGTTCTGATCAGGGCGTTCGTCTCATTAAAGAAACACTCCAGTGTCTCTCAGAACAGCAGCCAGTGCTGCAGCAAGTGCCCAGTGGTTTGTGTGTTTTTACAGGGAAACGTGTTGAAACTGCTGTGTGTGGAGCTCGGCTGCACACTATGGATGCAACAGATAGAGATCAGACTGGCGTATTTCTTTAATGGTTAAACTGTCGTAGGAGAATCTCTTCTGCTCTCTTATTCAGGCGTTGTGTTTATGGCTGTGGAGGTTTGTCTTTGTGTATGTGGGTGTTGGAGTTGGGCATCTTTGCAAGCATTGTGTTTTTCATCTCCTTCGGTCCGGGTTTGATGCAAATCCCAGAAAATCCTGCTGTTCTAGATCCAAAAATCAGGTTCTGTCATCACGTTTCCTCCTGGAGGGAGTCTGCTTCGGCTTTCGGCACAGAAATAATGCATTATTCTGGATTTAGATATGTATGTAGATATCTGTTTGTTTTGTTTTTATTCTCTTCTTAAGGCGTAATAGTTACATGTGACTGCATAAACAAACAATTCACTGTAGCTGTGAGGAGGCTGGGTGTTTGTGTTTGGTCGTTTTATTTCACCAAGCTCTTTTATGTGTGTGGTCTGTTTGTATAAGTCAAGCGTGTTGGTGGTGATTTTGGCCATTTGGGTGTTGTTATAATAGCACAGTGTATAGCGCTGAATAGCGTGTATAGCGCTGTATAGCGCTATAGCGAGTACCAGTTAAGTTCAGACTGGTTTGGTGTGAAACGCTCTGCTCTAGAGAAACTTACTGAGTCAGAACTGTTCACAGTGGTGGTGATAGGAACCAGACGTCCACCTCTAAAAGCTCCCTCGCATAAACTTATGATGTCTGAGACACTGTTTTATGATAGTTTTGAGAAGATTTTAGCCTCAACATCCATTCATGGTGGAGGGATACATAACATGCAGGGCGCTGTGAGGCAAAAAAGTCCCCAAAGAAAACTTATTATTTCAGATTTATGACTATTTTCCCATCATCAACATTCCATATAAACTCAGAAGACTCGTGTAGGTTCACTGGTGGTTCTGGATAGTAAATAAAATGTCTATATTTGTGTTGTAGTCATGGCGACGCCTGGTTCCTATCACCACCACTGTAAACACATCTGTACCTTTTCTGAACTATGCAGAAATCTTTAAAGTTCAATCTACACCAGTGAAGTAGGTGTTTCTGGCCAATGAGTGTCAGTTCAGTGTCGGTGGACGTGAGCTGGACACTGTGTGTGTGCGTGTGTGTGTGTGCGTGTGTGTGTGTGCGCGTGTGTGTGTGTGTGCGCGTGTGTGTGTGTGTGTGTGTGTCTGTGTGTCTGTGTGTGTGCGTGCGTGTATCAGTTGTTGTCTGTGCAGCGGAAGCGCAGACACAGTTTGATCTTCTCCTGGAAGGTGCTGGTGGTGATGGTGTAGAGGATCGGATTCAGAGCGCTGTTTATCGGCAGGATGAAGATCACCACCCACAGAACTATAGTACCTAGAGAGAGAGAGAGAGAGAGAGAAAACAAAAGAGACAGAGAGAGAGAGAGAGAAAACAAGAGAGACAGAGAGGGAGAAAAATAAAGAGATAGAAAAAGAAATAATACGAGAGAGAGAAAAAGAAATGGAAAAGAGAGAGAGACAAAAAATAGAGAGAGAAACAGAGAGAAAGAAATAGAAAAAGGGAGAGAGCGAAAGAAATATGAGAGAGAAAAAAAGAGAGACAGCAAGAAAGACAGAAACAATAAAGAGAAAGAGAAAAAATAGAAAAAGAGAGATAGTGTGAGAAATTGGGACAGAAAAAGAAATAAAAAACAGGGAGAAAGAAAGAGAGGAAAAATCAAAAAACAAAGAGAGATAGAGAGAGAGAGAGGAAAGTAATAGAAAAACAGAAATGCAGCGAGAAAGAAAGATTGACAGAGAAAGAGAAAGAAATAGGGACAGAAGAAGAAATAGAAACAAACAGAGAGCAAGAAAGAAACAGACAGAGAGATACAGAGGGAAAAAGAAAGAAATTGAAAGAGAGTGAGAAACAAAAAAACAGAAATTAAGACAAGGTGGGAAAGAGGGAAAACAAAAAGAAAGAAAGAAACAAAGGAGAAAGAGAAGAGAAGTAGAGAAGATGGAGAGATATATGAAACAGCAGAAAGAGCAGAAGTAAAGATAAAATGAAGAAAAGAGATGGAGGAAAAAGAAAGAAGAGAAAGAAAAAAGAGAACATGGTGAGTATCTGATAGTACTGTATGTTCTCATATCACAGAGTGTAAAACACTCTCTCTCTCTCTCTCTCTCTCTCTCTCTCTCTCTCTCTCTCTCTCTCTCTCTCTCGGCTGGGCGGTGACCGGCGTCTTGCCAGGTGAGGATGACGAAGCGACTGCCTGAAGGACACTCAAGGCGAGCTGCAGCGTGACTGACAGGTGAGCGCTGCAGGACACTCAGCGTTCCTGAGTCTTCAGGACGAGCGTCTGTGCCGCGCATGTAAATGTGCGCATAAACAGCATCGGAGCTTCCATCACCCACAAAGACACAAACGCACGGCTTTCGTAGGAGGTCGGTTTTATAATTTAGAGAACAGGATTAATCAGATCAGACCAATCAGCTCTCGTCTGCTGCTGCTCGGACCCTCAGAGCGTTTTTACTCTTTTCCTCTTTTTAACACTCAGTAATCTGATCATAAGTGACTTTCTGCAGTTATCTAATTATTAAATGGTCATGTAAACGCTACACTCCGATCTGGAAATCTGATTAAGAAACCCGCTAAAGAGACTGGATTTTAGCTCAGTAATCGGATTTCTCAGCGCGTGTAAACTCTTACTCTGATTTCTTTCGGATTTCTCAGTCTGAGCGTGTGCGAGACGCAGCAAAACCAAAACACATTCTTGACAAAATGAAGGATTTAAATATTCTCGATCTTCTAGATGATGTTTGTTCTTCTTCTCAGGTAAAGTGTGACGTTTCTTTTTTTTAAAAAAAAGCATAAAGTTTCAGTTTTACGTTACGTTTACGTCACGTCTTCTTCTGTGAGTTTATTGGCTGGTTTCAAAGCAGAAATCTGATTACTGTCTGACTCATGTAGACCCAGAGTTTCCCCATTATCTGATTACTAAGTGCATGTAAACGTGTTGATCAGACTAGCGACAAAATCAGATTTTCTGCAGTTATCAGATTATTAAATGCATGTAAACACTCTCAATCAGATTTTTACTTCCGGATTGAAAAGCTGGTCCCTGAAGTCGGACTCGAACTCCTGCGTGTGGCCAGTTCTGGCTAATGTAAACAAAGATGTTCTGCCGTCAGGATTCATGTAGAGCAGCGATCCTGTTTCAGAGCCAGCAGCACGGTTTGTTCTAAAATCTCATATGGAGGCCCAGAATAACTGTAACTGTAATTCACACATATTTGAACACAAAGACGAGAAAAATTCCGGCAGATCTGTGTGAGATTCCAGAGTCATCATTTTCAAAGACTTTGGGAACATTTTCTTAGCATACAGGACTGTTTGCTTGGAATTCAGGATCCTTTTGTTAAAATTTAGGATAGTTTTCTCATATTATTTCCTCGATTTTCCCAGTAATTGTCTTGGAATTTTGCAATCTTCTATTTCCAGTTGTATGTTTAGAATCCTATTTCCAAGCCAGCAGTGACTGTAATTTATAATTTTACAAAAAATTGTCTTACTGGAAACTCATAGGCAGTTACTGTATGAGTATAATTCTGTTGCACCAAAGCAGCAGTTTGGATCCTAAGAAAATGGTCCTGAATTTCCTGGATTTGTGGTAAATGACCCTGAATTTCTTCAAAATGATTTTCTCTGAATTTATCATCATTTTTTTGGATTTTGGGATAATTTTCTCAGGACTGAGTATCATTTACCCTGATTTTGGAATCAATTTCTTGGTGAGAACATAATCAAGGAATTTGGGAATTGGTATTTATTGATTTATTCATCTGTCCCTTTCATTTATATGTGCCTTATATAGTGCCTTTTTCATACATAACGTCATTTTACAATTAAGTATATATGATTTGGGATCACTTTCTTGGAATTCAGGATCATGTTCTTGGAATTTTGGGTCACTTTCTTGGAATTCAGGATCATATTCTTGGAATCTGGGCTCATATTCTTGGCATTCAGGATTGTGTTCTTGGAATCTGGGGTCACTTTCTTGGAATGCAGGTTTATTTTTTGGGTATTTGGGAAAAAGTCTTGGAATTCAGGATCGTGTTCTTGGAATCTGGGGTCACATTCTTGGAATTCAGGGTCGTGTTCTTGGAATCTGGGGTCACATTCTTGGAATTCAGGATCATGTTCTTGGAATCTGGGGTCACATTCTTAGAATTCAGGATCATGTTCGTGAAATCTGTGGTCACTTTCTTGGAATTTGGGGTCATTTTCTTGGAATGCAGGTTTATTTTCTGGGTATTTCGGGGAAAATGTCTCGGCATTTGAATTTGCTTTTGAATTACGGAATCTAATTTTTAAAGCCAGTTGCAACTTTGATATATAAATCTCTGTGTTCACGCTCGTATACAGACGTGGAATAAATTTATGCAAAGTTAACAGGCCCAAAGTTTTAGCTTTTCCAAAATGGAAAGGCGCCTCTCCAAATTCACCACTTTTCCATTCTGTGAGCAGTAAAGGAAATATGATTTTCACTCAAAGACGTTGTGGCTGCTTGTTTTGTGCTTCATTCAAAAGCAGCTCAGACTGAGTCACGGAGATCCGAGCTGTGTCTTCTTTTCCGAAGTGTTTGTCTGTTTCATGAGAAGCAAAGGATATTTATTTGATAAATATTCTGCCCATTTATTCTTTTTGTAGCACAAACAACAGCGAGATAAGCGTCTGGTATGTATATTAATGTCTGATTTTTTTTTGGCACAATTTTGTTTATTCATGTTGGTTACATAATGGCCTTAAGAAAAAAAAAATATATATAAATATATAATTATAGATTTTTATTGGTTTGATTTTTAGCTTTTAGCATGTATGGATATTTGGAGGTTTCATTCGCGGCCTCAATTTTTGAGCCACGGTTCAGTTTATAACCAGTTTTTGTTTGTCTGTTTGTTTTGTTTTGTTGGGAAGGGGGGTAAATAAGGAAAAACAGGGGAAAAAAATAGTTTTTTATTAAATCACCAACAGTTTGGAACACTAAAGGGAGGAAACCTAAAGAACAGGGTCTACAGCTCGCCCTAACTTTAAATAGGATAGTAATTTTGTGACGTGTCACAGTGTTAACTGTGAAATAAAAAATGACTTTTGTATCGTGGTTTCAGTCTCGGTTTCAGAATCTTTCCCCCCTTAATGGACACAGCGGAAAGCTGTGCTACTACTTTACAGTGGATGAATTCAATAAATCAAGCTGAACAGCAGGAGTTTTGGTCAGCGGTCAGCAGCTTTCATCTTGAGATTGAGTCCCAGCTTGAAACAAGTACACCTAATCCAGCTCATCATGGTCGCTAATTTGCAGGATTAAGGCTGGACACCGAACTCTGTGGGAAGTTAAATCTCTAGACATAGGAGCAGGACCGAACTCTTCAAGGCAGAAGATGTCCAGGAGGTTCCGATGATGGTTGGTTTAATGGATAAAGGCCTGTTTGTTTTTTATTAATTCTCCATTGACTGGCTCCCTCAGCTAAGCTGTTAAAGGATAGTGCAGCGATAAAAATCGAACCCACGATTCTTTCCTTACCGCAAATGTGGCTGATCAGCTGAGATGTTTTGATTCTTTAGTTTTGCATCGGAGCTACAAGGCTAATGTAGCTAATTACCAAATAGCACTGTGCAAACTGCACATCTGTATCATTAGTCCATGTTTATAAATACAGTGTAAAAACTGACGTGACAAAAAATACCTCAATTTACTGGCAGCAGAATGAATATTCACGTCTTGCCTAAACTATCGCTTTAACACCAACTCACCTGCGATCTGCACTCGGAGGAGGGAGAGGATCTTAAGGAGGAAGATGGGTATCCAGCACATGGCGTCGGTGAAGACGATGAAGAAGAAGCGCTTGGCGATGGAGACCTCGTGGTCGAACGCCATCTGCCTGGCCGACTTGGCCGTTTTCTGTACCGAGTAGAACATGCTGGTGTAGGAGAACACGATCAGCACGAAGGCGAAGAGGTTCAAACCTGAGGAGGAACCAACAAAAGCGAACCAATCAGACCGACAGCAAACACAGTTCTCAAAGGGTTAGCTTAGTTTACAAAGCCCCCCAGTCCGGGCAAGACATGTCTGGTGTCTGAAGCCCGATTATAACTTAATATTAACTAAAATTTGGGAAACTCTGGACAAAACTCAGGCTTCAAGATGCTGCTGTACTGTTCTTAGCTATGCTAACACTCCATACTAACCAGTCCATGTTTACTGATAACAGTATATCCCTGATAGCAAAGGGTCAGTGGGCCACTGTTGCCCGCTGACTGGCATTTTGCTCAGCGTTTTCTGGGCAGCCCACTGGTGGTGGATTCCACTTCTCATCGCAGTCCAATTTACTTCATTTTTCTTCCTACTTTTCTTTAGTAATATTTCGTAAATTAGTTTAGCAAATAATTTTTATTTGGCACAGTGCCATTTTCTATAAAATCATTTTATATTAGGCTTAGCCATCATTTTTAATTTCTCAGATGTTTGTAATTTTTGTCTTAGTTTATTTTCTAAAATAAAAGTCTCTGTGTGAATTTAAAATCTGTTTGAGGAGATTAAAAACTAGTTAGAGCTTGTAAGCAGGACAGTAATCTGGGTGGCCAGACGGTGGACCAGCAGTGCCAGCGGGCCGATATATGCTCGCTGTCTGGGATCATGCAGTGTCAGACATTTTCTTGTTAGCTACATTAGCCTCAAAGTAGGAATGAGTCAGAATTTGGGAATATTTGGATAATTATGAAAATCAGTACATTGTATTAGGGTTGGGCTGATTGTTGGGACGTTGATCATCGATGGCGGACAGACATCATGATGTTGAGACAGCTTTATGATGCTATAACGGATAGCAACAGGACAGTGGGCCACTGTTGGCCCATCGATGGCAAAGCTGGTGGTCCACTGGCGTTTTGCTCAGCGTTTTCCAAGCAGCCCACCAGTGGTTAAGCAGAGTATTTGACAAAATTCCACTTATCATCACTCATTTTCCACTTAGGGTCCGAATTACTTATTTTTCCTATACTTACTAAATAAGTTTAGTGAATAATTTTAAATTTTAAATAAAGATTAAAACTAGTTCGTATGCAGGACAGTAATCTGGGTGGTCCGAGGGGGGACAAGCAGCGTCAAACAGTTAGCGGGAGGCCGATCTTATCAAGGCAGCAGACCGATGTGTGCTTGTTATCTGGGATCCCCCCTGCGCCCACCCCCACCGACAGAGAGGACACTTTTGTCAGAGGATCCTGTTTACAGCCTAATGTTACACCAATTATTCACACTAATAAGTCACTTCATTTAAACTTATTAATTGTGTTTAGGCTGAGATTCAAGAACAGACAGAGACATAAAGTGTCCCCTTTACAGCAGTGACTAATGTGGAAATCTGCCAGTGTTTCAGTAATGCTACTTGTATTTTCACCATGGTAGCTAGCTAAGTTATATTAGCGTCAGGCTAGCGGGGTTAGCTCAGCGCTATTTGGGATTTTTATGTCAGTTCTAGTTTAAATACAGACACTTTTAGCTCATAACAGGCATGGGAGTAACATTCTATACTGTGTATGTCTCAGTTTTTAAGTAACGCTTTATTTACAGGCCTAAGTCTGCATTTTATTATTGTAGCATTTGCCTGTTAGCCAGTTAGCTTTCTGCTACCTGCCCAGTCTGCTAGTGAGGGCAGAATATAGCCAGTTATAAAGAGAATATAACATGTAAAAAGGTAATGCGAGTCTGTTAGGAGCAAACAGTGATGTTTAACTGGCAGTTAATCATCTGGCTGCATTTTATACACACAGACTTGAAGTCTAACAAAATGGGCTTCTTCACTGAGTCACTTTGAAGCCACAGTCTGTGCAGTTTAGGCTTGTAGCTTTGCTGTTCTTGCTGTAGTTTCATCTGTACTGACAGCCACAAACAGCACGCTGTCCTAAAACGTCTCGGAGATGTTTAATGAGACAAAACAATAACTTAGGAACTGAGCACACTTTCTTCAACTTTGCTAAAAATGGCGACAAACAACACTTCGGTTCCTCACCTGAATATTTCAGCCATAATCGCAAAGCACAGTGATGTTATGTGAAAAATAAGGTGGATACGGAAGAAAAATGGAGGAAAAGTAAGGAAAGACCACGTGAGTAGGGGAGGATGGGCTGTGAATGGGCTCAAGTGTACAACCCCAATTCCAAAAAAGTTGGCACACTGTGTGAAATGTAAATAAATGTACATAAAAACAGAATGCAAATCTCATAGACCCATATTTTATTCACAATAGAACATAGAATACATATCATGATATCATTTTACCATTTCATGAAAAACATGAACTCGTTTAGAACTTGATGGCAGCGACTCATTTTACACAGCGTCCCAACTTTTTTTGGAATTGGGGTTGTAAATGCCCTGCTGAATAAACACCATTAGAACCATTAGGATTAAAACATGATGGCTTTGTTTCTAATGGGATTTGGCATAAAAGTTCCCATTGGCAACAATTCGTTTCCTGTGGGGCACCTTTAGTTCCCTTTAGGAAACTATCAAATGCATCTGGAATTGGTCCCAGAACACCTGTTGAACCATTAGAATCCGTCACACTGTGCTGTCAACCCATCAGGACAAACACAAAACACAATTACAGACTAACTTTTAATGGTTTCAGTGATTTTTCTCAGCAGAAATGACACTCCACCTCCCTAGAACCCGGATTATAATCAGATTTCTGCAGTTATCTGATTATTCAAATGGTTGTGTAAACAGCACACTCTGATTTCTTAGAGTGGAGTGAGGTCTAGAAATCCGATTAAGAAATCTGATAAAGAGGCTGGATTTTAGCTCAGTATTCAGATTTCTCAGTGTAAACTCTTACTCTGATTTCTTTCGGATTTCTCAGTCTGAGCATGTGCGAAAACAGACCGCAGTGCCGGAAATGAGTGAGCAGCTCAACTTTTGGAGCGACGCTGAAACCAAATACACACTTGACGAAATGAAGGATTTAAATATTCTTCATCTTCTAGATGATCTATGCTCATATTTTCAGGTAAAGAGATTTGATGTTTTTAAAAATAAGTCACAGCATGAAGTTTGAATTTTACATTACGTTTTCGTCACGTCTTCTTCTGTGAGTTTATTGGCTGGTTTCAAAGCAGAAATCTGATTACTGTCTGATTCATTGTGGACCCAGAGTTTCCCCATTATCTGATTCCTTAAGTGCATGTAAATGTGTTGATCAGCTTATTGACAAAATCAGATTTTCTGCAGTTATCGGATTATGAAGTGCATGTAATGTGCTCACTGTTATATGCCAGTTAGGTACACATCGCCCCCAACTGCATTGCTTCTCACTAATCTTCTACATTCTAATATTGAAGAACCTTGAGATGTCTGAACTCTATTATCCACAAGAGGGCAGTGTAGAGCCGGTGTCTTACATTCTGTTCTACTGCAGTCGGTTAAACGCTACTGCACACCAGAAAAGACGCTCCGCACAGCACATATTACAAAGAACAGCTACAGCAAGCTCAGATAAACTCACAATCATTCTACACGTTACTGATATGGAATTAACGGCAAAATACTTTCAACATCATTTCGTGAATTTATCTTGTTTGGTATCAACTAACTAACTCTTCACAAACTCAGTTTTCTAGCTAAAACGTAAGAGATGGCTGGGCTAGTGACATTAGCTCTGAGTGACAGTGAGTGCATTTAACATGCATCGATAACCTGATTATAATCAGATTTCTGCAGTTATCTGATTATTCAAACGATCATGCAAACAGCACAATCTGATTCAGAGTAAGGTCTAGAAATCCGATTAATTAATCTGATAAAGAGGCTGGATTTGAGCTCAGCAATCAGATTTCTCAGTGTAAACTCTTACTCCGATTTCTTTCGGATTTCTAAGTCTGAGCATGTGCAAAAACACACTGCTGTACTGGAAATAAGCGAGCAGCGTCGCTGCGAGACGCAGCAAAACACTTCTGGAGCAACACTGAAACCAAACACATGCTTGACAAAATGAAGGATTTAAATATTCTTCATCTTCTAGATGATTTATGTTCATATTTTCAGGTAAAGTGGCGCGATGTTTAAAAATAAGTCGCAGCATGAAGTTTGAGTTTTACGTTACGTTTACGTCACGTCTTCTTCTGTGAGTTTATTGGCTGGTTGTAAAGCAGAAATCTGATTACTGTCTGACTCATGTAGACCCAGAGTTTCCCCATTATCTGATTACTCAAATGCATGTAAATGTGTTGATCAGATTGACAAAATCAGATTTTCTGCAGTTATCAGATTATTAAGTGCATGTAAACACACTCAGTGCAATATCACTGCTTTGGGAGATTTTGTGAAAAACTTGTTTTCAATAATACTGTCTGTGTATCAAGGCTGCACAAAGTTTATGATCCCAAAAAAGTAGAGAAGTGCGTTCCGATCGATCCCCCCGCCTCTTTATTTGCCCCAAACCCGTCTAGTCTGATCAAATACATTTTTCAACATTTTCCCTCGTGTAGTCCTACGTCTCAGCCAATATTCTCTCTCTCTCTCTCTCTCTGTCTCTCTCTCCCTCTCTCTCTCCCTCTCTCTCTCTCTCTCTCTCTCTCTCTGTCTCTCTCTCCGTCTCTCTCTCCCTCTCTCTCTCTCTCGGATGAGCTTGTTGATTGATTTCTCTTTCTCCGCGGGGTTGCAGGTAAAGCCGAGCTGTAATTTGCAGCTTGTTTGTTTGGTAATGGACTCCACTCTCTTAGCAAATAATGAGAAGCTTTCTGATTCCCTACAGGACAGGAAAAACATCAGCACTGTGGCATTTATACAGCATTAAAAACACATTTTTTCACCCTGTCTGAGGATAATTTGTAGCTTTTGAGGACATTCGGCTCCTTAGAGGTTTTCATGTACACCCACGCTTTGAGATATGATAATTAAAGGGACATTTTGGGCAAAAAATGAAAAATATTACCATCGCTACATCTGAAAACACGCCTAACCACATCCTACAGTGGCGCCGCAGTGGTCTTTAGACTCAAAGTGTGACCAGCAGGCCAAAACTGGACTGAGAGAGTGTCTGCAGGAAAGTTACCTTAACTACCACAACTTGAGCCAGTGAATGAATAAACATATTTTTATGCTATACACCGATCAGGCATAACATTCTGACCACCTCCTTGTTTCTGCGCTCATTGTCCATTTTATCAGCTCCACTTACTATATAGGTACACTTTGTAGTTCTACAGTTACAGACTGTAGTCCATCTGTTTCTCTGATACTTTGTTAGCCCCCTTTTTACCCTGTTCTTCAGTGGTCAGGACCCCCATGGACCCTCACAGAGCAGGTACTATTTGGGTGGTGGATCATTCTCAGCACTGCAGTAACACTGACGTGGTGGTGGTGTGTTAGTGTGTGTTGTGCTGGTCTGAGTGGATCAGACACAGCAGTGCTGCTGGAGTTTTTAAACACCTCAGTGTCGTTGCTGGACTGAGAATAGTCCACCAACCAAAAATATCCAGCCAGCAGCGTCCTGTGACCACTGATGAAGGACTAGAGGATGACCAACACAAACAGCACAGCAGCAGATGAGCTATCGTCTCTGACTTTACATCTACAAGGTGGACCGACAAGGTAGGAGTGTCTAATAGAGTGGACAGTGAGTGGACACAATGTTTAAAAACTCCAGCAGCACTGCTGTGTCTGATGCACTCATACCAGCACAACACACACTAACACACCACCACCACGTCAGTGTTACTGCAGTGCTGAGAATGATCCACCACCCAAATAGTACCTGCTCTGTGAGGGTCCATGGGGGTCCTGACCACTGAAGAACAGGGTAAAAGGGGGCTAACAAAGTATCAGAGAAACAGATGGACTACAGTCTGTAACTGTAGAACTACAAAGTGCACCTATATAGTAAGTGGAGCTGATAAAATGGACAATGAGCGTAAAAACAAGGAGGTGGTCAGAATGTTATGCCTGATCGGTTCATAAAAGTAGTTAAATAATCTTATAATATTCTAACAGGAAATTGTAGATGTTTCTGACTAGATTTGAGATGTTTTCACTTTCTAAGATATCATTGTTTTTATCATTCAGTGTGTCCAATGCGAGAAGGAGTCATGAATCTTCCTATTAGAAAATCTTCACTTTCGGCTAAAGTTATCCACCTTAATTTGCAGACCTGCTTCTCAAACACCTCCTGGTACAAAAGCACACATCACATCTTCACCTTTTCTCTCTGTCTTACCCAGGAATATCCCTGTTGAGTAGCACCGCGCTCCGGGTTTTTCCGCCTGGTCCGAGTGCAGGGGGAAGCAGACGCCGTTTCGGCCATAGAAGTTTCCGAACGTCTGCTTGTCACAGAAGGGCACGAGGGCCAGGATGAAGCCCAGGGCCCAGATGGAGGTCAGGGAGCAGAGGGTCTGCTTCCGGCCGGCCCGGTAGTGCTGGAAGGGGAAGACGATGCACAGGTACTTCTCCAGCGTCATGTACGTCAGCATCATCACCGAAACCTCCGTGGACAGCATGGCCAGGGATCCAATCAGCTGGCAGGACAGACTCTCCATCCAAATCTGAGCATGGCGGTTGTACTCGCCGCAGTATTTGATGTCGAAGGCGCCGATGAAGAAGAGATACACACCCATCAAACAGTCTGCACCTATCAGAGAGAAGCAGTACAGGGATGTGCATATACCTGTATTAATAACTAAATGTAGGTATTGTGATATAAACTGAGTCTGTTCTACAGTTTCTCGTTAGGCTGAATGAATAACCGACTCTAAATGTAGGTATTGTGATATAAACTGAGTCTGTTCTACAGTTTCTCGTTAGGCTGAATGAATAACTGACTCTAAATGTAGGTATGGTGATATAAACTGAGTCAGTTCTACAGTTTCTCGTTAGGCTGAATGAATAACCGACTCTAAATGTAGGTATTGTGATATAAACTGAGTCTGTTCTACAGTTTCTCGTTAGGCTGAATGAATAACCGACTCTAAATGTAGGTATGGTGATATAAACTGAGTCAGTTCTACAGTTTCTCATTAGGCTGAATGAATAACTGACTCTAAATGTAGGTATTGTGATATAAACTGAGTCTGTTCTACAGTTTCTCATTAGGTTGAATGAATAACTGACTCTAAATGTAGGTATTGTGATATAAACTGAGTCTGTTCTACAGTTTCTCATTAGGTTGAATGAATAACTGACTCTAAATGTAGGTATTGTGATATAAACGGAGTCTGTTGTATAGTTTCTCATTAGGCTGAATGAATAACTGACTCTAAATGTAGGTATTGTGATATAAACCGAGTCTGTTCTACAGTTTCTCATTAGGTTGAATGAATAACTGACTCTAAATGTAGGTATTGTGATATAAACCGAGTCTGTTCTACAGTTTCTCATTAGGTTGAATGAATAACCGACTCTAAATGTAGGTATTGTGATATAAACCGAGTCTGTTCTACAGTTTCTCATTAGGCTGAATGAATAACTGACTCTAAATGTAGGTATTGTGATATAAACCGAGTCTGTTCTACAGTTTCTCATTAGGTCTGAATGAATAACTGACTTTAAATGTAGGTATTGTGATATAAACTGAGTCTGTTCTACAGTTTGAATGGGGTTATTTATCTAGCAATGTCTAAAGCTTGTCTAGAGAGCACATTTGTGGGTGGAGCCTGGATGCTGTAATTGTCTGTGATTGGTCAACTCATCAGTGGTGCTGCTTCTGCTTTAATTGCAGTGCAGTAGATGCATGATTGCACAGGATATGTCATCACAGCCTTTTGTAATGAACTAATTAGCCACTTATTGTCCAGCTCCACTTTAGTGCTATAAAAAGCCCAGAAAGAGGAAACGGCACAAAAGCTTTTTGCTGCCTACTTTAGATTCGGACTGTCACCTCTGGGTTACTGACCCAGTGGTGCTCTTGGTTCTGCTCTGTCTGCCTTTAAATGTCTGCCAGATGGAGATAAGCGATAAATACACATGCAGGTCATGGAAAAATAAAGTTTTCAAAAAGACAAAATGTAAAAATCTTATTTAAAAGGGCAAAATGTGCATTTTATATCTTAAGTATATTGAGTGTTATCACAGCTTTTAATGGCCTGTTCAGTTGTTAAACTGTGCTGGTCTGGTTGCTCCATCTGTCTGACTGGTTGCGCCACCTGACTTTTCGGACTAATTTCAAATTAAACAGGCATCTACTTAGACACCTCTAGAAACCTTTGTCCTTCAACTTGAGTTTATCCTTACATTTTATCGATTAAACATTATCATAATAATTCCACATTTTCATGGTCCTCCTGAGGTCAGAACACCTGACATGGTAAACTAAACCATTTTAACCACGACTAAATCATCACATTTTTTACTAAATTTGTGAAAAGGCTACTGACCTTGGCATTGCACCATGAAGGTCACTTGGGGTCTTTATGATGCAATACCCTGGCCCCTCCTTTTGTAAAAGCATATCAAAATAAAGGTCCTATGTTTTTGGTTGTGCCGCCTGACATTTGAGGAAGTAAGAATTTGCGGAGAAAAGTTTTTTCCAGTCAGTTAAGCACTTTTAAAGTTGCCTTATTATTTTGCAATTTTTAAAAAAGTTTTCAAACTTAAAATCACGCCAAACTATTTTCTTTAGAATTTTATATAACCAACTTGCCTTTTTTGACAGTTCAATCAACGTATACGGTTGGGCGGTTGCAACATCTGACATTTTTAGACTTTTGGAGGCAAAAAGAAGCTAAAATGAATTTTATATGGATGCACTGAAATCTGTCTACTACAAAAGAAGTGTTGATGAATAATTTGATGAATGCTATGTATTTATTAAATTCATTTTTTGAGGGAAAATAATGGACTTTGACACAAAACATGCACGTCATATCAATGAGCCATACACGTGTTTTGATATGTTTTGATTCTTATTTCCATTGACCTCTGATTGCCCCTTACTGTGGTTATGTAAACATACTACACCTAATCCAACCCCAATCTAAACCTCAAATGCAATAAAATGCAATAAAACACCAATTAAAGTTGCATTTCATTGTAATTGAGGTGTTTTTTCAGCACTTGCCACATTGGAACCAACCAGATGTCTGTAAAGTGTCAAACTGTTCCCAAAGTCATGTGTGAGACAGAGTCCTAATTGACACACACATAATAATTATGTCTGAGATAGAGTGCTAAATCTGTCCATCACACACTCAGCCTGTCCTATTAGAAATGCATTGAGTGTGGCAGAGAGATTATAATGAACAATCTCCCACTCATCATCTGGATCTGGACCAAACAGCTCTGACAGGAAACACTCGGGACTCTCACAGTCCGATAACTGAACCACTGAGAGCAGAAGCACCCAAAGAGATACACACATTTGTTTTGATACTCTGGACACAATACATATGTCATATATATACTTATATATACATATATGTGTGTGTGTGTGTGTGTGTGTGTGTGTGTGTGTAAAAGATGACTTTACAGGAGGCCATTTCTGTCAGTCTATTCACCATGAAAATTTGACATGACGTGAAGGGCGGCTGGTGATTTCAAATTGTGTAAAAAAAAGTAAGTGCCTACAATCATATGCAAAAGTGTGAACGAGTCAAGTGACAATAAGTGAACACATCCTCTACAAAAAACACACTGATCTGAACCCTTTTCTGAACACTTTTGTGCACATTTTCTGTTTATTCGCTGAGTTTAACATACTATAAAAAATAAAGTAAAATGTATGTATTATGTATAGGTGACATTGTATGTTGTAGATTTTCCCCTAATATTTTAAACCCATTGAATAAACATTAATTATGCGCTAAATTGTGCAGCCATGTGTTCAACAAAAATCAACTAAACGTTTAATTTGATCAGGGGTGCCCAAACTTTTATATCATGTATATAATATGTGTATGTATGTATATGCAAAGGGTGGCAACGTGGCAACTTTGCAGCAGTGATTATATATATATATATATATATATATATATAGATATATATAGATATATATAGATATCGATGCTCTCAGAACAAAACCTTGTATGTCCAAAATGGTAACTTTACAGGAGAAGCAAAAAACATACTTTACTTTTAATGTAAGTCAATGGAACCAGATGTTTTTCCAAGTAATTTCTGGGCTGTTTCTTTTAGTCCATTCATCATAAAATTTACACAAAGTGTAAAGTGCAACAGGCATTTTCAAATTATGCCAAAAACTGAAAAATGACAAAACTGGAGATATAATGTTTTCTTCCGACAGCAGTGATATATAAAACTTTACAGTACATTAGCATAGCCACAGTAATATAATCGGAGGTCAATGGAAAATCTATAAAAATAAGAATTGAAACATTTGTGTCTGGGTCACTGATATGACATACATCAATTACTCAACAGTCCCTATTTTATGATAAACAATTTTCAGTGAATCCATATAAAATTCATAATGTGTGTGTGATTGTGTATGTATATGTCCGTCTGTCTGGCCTGTGATGGACTGGCGACCTGTCCAGGGTGCATCCTGCCTTCTGCCCAATGACAGCTGAGATACGCACCTATATATATATATATATATATATATATACCTTTAAAATAAAGAACATGTTGCAAAATAAGGCAACTTTAAAAGTGCTCAACTCACTGCAAAACTTTATATATAGGTGTGTGTCTCAGCTGTCGTTGGGCAGAAGGCAGGATGCACGATGGACAGATCGCCAGTCCATCGCAGGGCATACAGACAGACATATACATTCACAGTGACACACACACATTCACACCTTGGGGCAGTTTAGCTGGTCCGCTATGTGAAAAAAAAAAAACATTTTCTAAACGTAATCCTAATCTGAACCTCAGGGAACCGAAACGAGGCGGTTTTGCTCGTTCAGATAAAAACTGAAACGTGGCGCTTCTGATGAAGCAGCTTCACAGAGTCAGCAGTGTGGTGTTGTTGGCTGTTTCAGTCCTGAGAATGTATGAAAACACACAGAGGTGTGACAGTCCAGTGGCTAAACTAGACACACACACACACACACACACACACACACACACGGGCACTGAGATGTTATTGTAGATGATGCAGTCGAGCAGGTGGGATTAGATGTCTGTCTGGCAGAGACATGATTGGAGACAGAGAGGATGTGATCTGACTAAAATCTTAGTAAACAGCTTTTCACTGTGTGTATGTGTGATCGTGATTGTGTGTGTGTGTGTGTGTGTGTGTGTGTGTGTGCGCGTGTGTGCGCGTGTGTGTGTGTGTGCGCGTGTGTGCGCGTGTGTGCGTGTGTGTGTGTGTGTGCGCGTGTGTGCGCGTGTGTGTGTGTGTGCTAATTTTCCTCTCAGCAGGTGTGAAGGGTGAGCATCTTTTGTGTTTTTAATGAGAGTTTGTGATAAAGGCTGATAGATGTAGAATTTATTCAGCGTTCATTCATGCAGGGGAAGTGTGTGTGTGTGTGTGTGTGTGTGTGTGTGTGTGTGTGTGTGTGTGTGTGTGTGTGTGCGTGTGTGTGTGCGTGCATAGGTATGTGTGTGTGTGTGCGTGTGTGTGTGTGTGTGTGCGCGCATCTGTCTGTATGTGCCTGCGTGTTTAATCTCATTACTCGTTTGTGTGCAGTGACGACATATAATTTACATCTGCAACAAATGTAAATAATATTTAACAGAATCATGAATATTTACTTCACTTTGTATTATTACACAAGAATTGTGCTCATAAATCAACAGTAGGAGATAATATGAGTGCCTTTACTGATGCATCTACAGTAGATATGTAGGTTGCAGTGTTGTGCACTGGGGTGGGGTCTTTGGGGGGGCACTGCTGGATCTGTTCATATCAGGACTGTTTTAAGTATATAGAAATACCATTATAGACTAATTTATTCTGATACTGTTGCATTATGGTAACTATACAATTATGGCTGTTTTTCCTGTTGCAAAAAAACAATGATAATCATATTCAGCTCATCAATAAAACACATTATTATTATTATTATCCAGAAACAGAAAACTATGCCCTCTACATTAGCTTTTTTTGTCTGTTTTTTTTTGCAGCCAGCCTGTTAAGTGTGCTGTAAATATCAACTTGACCGTAAATATTGAAAACTATTTCAATAAACATAAACATATCGCTGCTTTTAGAACAAAACCTTGTATCTCCAAAATGGTAACTTTACAGTAGAAGGAAAAAACATACTTTACTTTCAATGCAGGTCAATGAAACCATTTTCTCTGTAGCTTTTAATCATTTTTAAACTCTTTTGGCACTTTTGACTCCTTCATTATGCAAGTGCATTATCTTATGTCTTATCTCTTGAAAAATGAATACCTTAAGCTTAATGATCGTGTTGACAGGAAATAAAATGAATGAAGGGTGCTCTCTGACTTTTGCACAGTACCCTGGTGACAGTGCATTATATCATCAAGTCATCTATGTTTTCTGATTTTGTACAAACTCGGCTTTTCATTTGCCAGTTATTGAACGTAAACATTTAATAGAAGAGATGTGAACAAAAAGAAAAAGGGAAAACGGGGATGGCACAGTGCAGCATGGTGTTCCACAAGGCTTTGTTTTAGGGCCCTTATTGTTCTCCCTTTATTCACAACCCCAAGGACACATAATCCGTAAACGCAATGCTGACTTTCACTTTCATGCTGCAATACTCATTCAGAGGTGTCAGCTCTGCCAGATTCAGTGACACAGTCACACCTAATGAGAGGCCATGTTAAAGACATAAAAGCTTGGATGACCAGGAACGACGTCTGTAACACAAATGTGTTGCTGTTGCTCTCATGGTTGCAGATTTTATGCTTCACATCACTACATTACAGACCACAACATGAAGAAAAAGGGTGTTTACCACTTTTAGGCTTCGGGCGAACCAAAATATAACCAAAAACTGCAAAAATAACAATATCTTAGCAAATGAAATCATCTTAAATCTCGTCTAATTATCTAACATTTCTCATTTTGAGATGACTGTAGGATTATAAGATGATTTAAATTATTTCTAGATGTGTTTTACATGTTTTCAGTTTAAAATCTCATCGGTTTCAAGCATTTTTCTTACAACAAGTAAAATGATCTGCCAATATAGCACGATGATAGAATGATTTCACTTAATAAAATCACTTAAAACAAGAAAACATATCTAGAAATAAGTTAAATAGTCTTATTTTATTCCTACATCCATCTCAAAATGAGAAATATTATATATATTGAAGACATTTTGGATAATTTCATTTGTCAAGATATATATATATTTTTTTGCAGTGAACGCTCTTAAAAAATGATTCTTCAAGTTCAAGAACAAGCTCCACATTGAAACAATAGAACCCTTTTTGGTGCTATATAGAACCAAAATGGGTTCTTTACATGGTGAAATGGTTCTTTAGATTGAAGGAGAATGTGTTGTAAATGGTTCTATATAGCGCCTTTTTTGAAAAGGGTTCTATGTGGCACCAAAAAGGTGGTACTATAAGTACATGCTCCACATCGTAACAATAAAAGAACCCCTGTTGGTATATAGAACCCTTTTCAAAAAGGTGCTGTACAGAACCAAAAAGGGTTCTTTGCATGGTGAAATGGTTCTTTAGATTGAAGGAGAATGTGTTGTATATGGTTCTTTACAGCACCTTTTTTAAAAGAGTTCTATACAGCCCCAAAAAGACGGTTCTTCAAGTTCAAGTACAAGCTCCACATCGTAACAATAAAAGAACCCCTGTTGGTATAGAGAAGCCTTTTCATAAATGTGCTATATAGAACCAAAAAGGGTTCTTTGCATGGTGAAATGGTTCTTTGGATTAACAAAAAAAGTGTTGTATATGGTTCTATATAGCACCTTTATGAAAATGGGTCTATATAGCACCAAAAAGATGGTTCTTCAAGTGCAAGTACAAGCTCCACATCATAACAACAGAAGAACCCTTTTTAGTGCTATATAGACCCCTTTTTAAAAAGGTGCTATATAGAACTAAAGAGGGCTCTTTGCATGGTGAAATGGTTCTTTAGATTGAAGGAGAATGTGTTGTATATGGTTCTTTATAGCACCTTTTTGAAAAGCGTTCTATACAGCACCAAAAAGATGGTTCTAGTTCAAGTGCAAGCTCCGCATCGTGACAACGGAAGAGTGTAGGTGCTACATAGAACCCTTTTCAAAAGGTCCTATATAGAACCATATACAACACATTCTCCATCTAGAGCCATTCCACCATGCAGAAAAAAACTTAAGTCATGCAAATGGTTCTTTCAGTGTTCATGGTTCTATACAGAAACAGTTGAAGAACCATCTTTTTATAACTAAAACTGCTTAAACTGCTGCGTTTTCTCTCCCGTCTGATTTGAGTGTCAGAACCATCCATAAATAATCTGCCTGGCTTATGAATTTTAGATGAAACGTCAGGAAGTTTGGGTGAAGAACAGCTCAGAACTCACAGCAGAGGGATTTGATGGCCATGGTGTGGTGCTGGTTCTCCGAGGCGATGCAGGAGCGCAGGCAGATCACGAAGACGTTCCCGAAGCAGATGACGAACGCCACGACCCAGACGAACACCCGCAGGATGATGTTGGCCAGCAGGTTCTCGAAGGACGAGATGCCGTCGGTGTTGGGTTTGCAGCTCCGCACGTTCGGGGAGTAGCCGCAGTACTCGAACCGCTTAAAATAACTGACCAGAAACACAAACAGCTTTGAAGACAGATGAAAACATTCAGTGGCACTTTCAGACGTTTGATGATCCGTGTTGGGAATGTCTACTGGGGTCGTTCTCCATCTGGAGTGGGAATTCAGGTGGATACATTATTAAAAAATCAAAACTATACAAGTCCATAAACATCTCCTTTTATCATATCTGCAGTAAGGAGAGCTTAATTCACACATATTTACAGTCACTGGTGTTGTATGAATGTGGTGTAACACCAGTGACGGTGACTCCAGTGACGCTCTGGTTAAAACTGAGGATTCTGTAAAACAGCTGACTCGTTGGCCGTCAGGTGACCTTGTGTATTTAAAACCAGTAATAAAAATTATAATATGACATTATTTTGATAAATTTTAATTACCCAGCCATTAAAGCTCATAACACCGGTGACACATAAAAGTTCTGGGCTGCCTGATAAACTAAATTATTAATAAATTAATGAAAGTGAGCGAGTGTGACTCGCCTTCTCATGCTTTGAGACGCTTCCTCCCTGATGAGCCTCGACCCAAAGAAGCAGTTTAATAGAGCTGAAAATACTGTGTTAAAATGTAGAATAAGAGTCCTGAACAAAATCTCTGTGACAAATGAATTTTTAAAATAAAATCCTTTTTTTGTAGCAAAACGTTAATGATGTAAAACTAAACATGAATTTGTTTTATACAAATTCCTAAGTTAAATCTCTTAAAAATCTTGTTTTATATTAAAAATGTTGAAAGTTGGTTTAGTGACGAGCTGTTTTATAGATGCAGAGCGACTATGAAACAGGATAAAAAAAGAAAAATCAGAGAATCATGAGGGAAAAGTCTTATTTAATCTTAGCTCAACTGTGTAAATGTACATACTGACTTTTGGAGCTGAACCTGATATTTACAGCATCTTTTTAAGCTCTAAAACATTTGTGACATGGTTTCCCCTCCAAATGGAGAACGACCCAGTAGCATCATCCAGCATCTGATAAGCCCTCATTCAGCTATACATGTACTGTACTGTACAAGAGGCACTTAAACCAACTGTTTGAAGCCATTTATCTGGACAGTTAGTGTGTTTTTATTTGTTAAAACAACATTGTATATATTACAGTAAATACAAACAAACACTAATGCAGGGAAAAGTAATCCTTACTTTTAAAAATGTTGTGAGTTAATTAGAAGAGCACACTGCAAAAATAGTATCTTGTTAAGTGTAATGACCTTAAATCTCATCAATATATCTAATATTTCTCATTTTGAGATGGTTGTGCACTTATTATAAGGTTATTTTGTTTATTTCAAGACTTTTTTTTACTTATTTTATGTAATTTTGTTAATCTTTCCTGTTGAGATTTTGTTTTTAGCTTAATTTAAGATTATTTACTTTATCTCTAGACTTTTTTTACTTGATTTAAGTAATTTTTGCTCATATTTGAGTAAAATTGTCTCACTATACTGGCAGATAAAGCAGACAAGCAAAATTATGTGCCTGTACAGTGAAAAAATTGTACTTAAATATGAGATAAAATTACTTAAATCAAGTAAAAAAATGTCTAGTAATAAAGTAAATAATCTTAAATTAAGCTAAAAACAAAATCTCAACAGGAAAAATATTAGATATGTTGACTATATTTTGCAATTCAAAGTCATCCAAAAATAGAATGATTATCTCATTTATTTATTTCAGACTATTCATTTTGTAAAAATTCAAAACATTTTTTAAATGTTGTGATCTAGTTAAAAGATTAACGTTATTAAAGTTAAAGTTATGCAAAAATAGAAGTATTACATTACAGTTACATTAGAGTTATTAGAAAACATATAAATATTAGTTTTCTAGAACTTTCTGAACAGAAACTAAACTAAAAATATGTAATTTTTTTTATTATTTTTCAATTTGTTACAATTTATTTTTTCCTGATCCTTTAAGAATCGTTATTTATTTATTTTAGACTATTCATTTTTGTACTTTAACTGTAATTTTAAGTAGTACATAGCAGGTCATATGATGTGTTTGCCTGATTATAGAACCGTATTCAGAAGTTTGATGAAATTCCTTGCTTGGTAGATTTTCTAAGAGGACCTAAAGAGAACACACTTTAATGTTAATGCACCATTGATTGTAATTCAGATCCTGAAGCTGATACGGTGATGATCACCGTTCCTGCCCGACACGATCGTTTCTAGAAAGTCATCTTCTGAGAAAGGGGGGGTGGGGTGGGGGGTGGGGGCGTTCTCTGTCCTTGCGTAAGTGATGGGTTTTCATTTAGAAATCTCTCTGAAGACTGAAGCCTTTTCTGTTCTGTTTTTCTGCTCTTTCTTTTTTCTTTTCCCTGCAGGTGAACTCATCAATTCTGCAGCTATTATGTCTGACACACACAGCGAGAGGGTGAGAGAGAGAGAGAAGGAGAGAGAGAGAGAGAGAGAGAGCGATGGAGAGAGATGGACACTGTGTTTACAGTGAGTAAATCTGCTGCGATTGCCTGCGGAATAGCAACGTCGGCTTATGGCTTGATGGTTTATCAGTTTTATGCGAGCTGTGAGCTTCGCTTCTGTACTAAAACAATCACTCTCTATCTGAACTGCACCCAAACACGCTGCTCTCTTCTGACAACCTCGACTCTTCTCAGCGGTGAGGGCCAAAGCTCGGCCCGATGGCTCGGCCCTAATGCCTCCTTTTGGCCTGGCGAGCGCCCCGGCCTGTTTACGCCTGGCGCTGATAACTCGCCACGGCTGCATGTAAAATTAAATCGTTTCCAATTTTCAGATGCACAACACTTCCCCTCCTTTCCCCCAGAGATAGCACACCTTACTGAAACCGGATTTTGTTTTCCTCATAGCTGAGGGCGCCAGTCATGTTCAGTGGGAACGCCAGCCGCCGCCACTGAAAGGAAAGTTTGTTCGCTGCGGAGGAGCCGTGACTCAAAATAGCTCGATTTAAAACGTGAGAACCATCTAAACTGAAAGTTTGGGCTTCTGCAAACTCACAGCGTGTCAGACTAGCATAGCGATGCTAATGTTCTTGGCTTGTGCTCAAAAAAAAGGGAAGTTTGTGTTGCTCCTGGAATGAAGTACCTACGAAACCTCACTATTTAAAAAGGCAAATAAGCATCAAATTCAAGGTAAAACTGCACTAGAGATCTAAGTTTACAGTCATCATGCAGTTTCACTCGGGATGTGCAGCACTGCGCAAAAAAGTTTTTGGTGCAGTTAGAAAGTTGGCTAACTCATTAAACATAAACATAAAAAGAACCCCTAGAACCCCAACAGTGGGGGTACTGATGAGGCCACAGCACCTCCAGATTTCACAATAATAATAATAATATAAAAAATCTGGGGTATTGCTGTGACGGCCAGCTACATTGACTGGGTTCTGTATCTGTAGTGGAAAACAAAGTAGCTGGTACCAAAAACGAGTCGAGTCGGGTCGAGTCGGGTCGAGTTAAGTTGAGTCTATAACATGCAGTGGAAAGCGGCTTTAGATAAAGCCAGTACTACTGTTGTCCAAAGACGTGAATACTTGTCAAAACTCAGAATAGCTGAACTTGATGTGAAGTTTCACGCGCGAAGTTTATTTGCACAGCGATGCGAAACTGATCAGTGTAGCAAGTTACACTGAAATGAATGTAATTTGGCTCGTGACACACTTCTAGTGAGCTTTAGGCACCTGAATAAATTATATATAATACCATTTATTATGATTATTCTGTTTGTTTCATCTTAACCATTTCCAAATCTCTCCTGGAGGAAGTCCAGTATTATTAGTACAGTTGCCGTCCAATACCTGCTTTAATATGATCAATATATTTATTTAAATTCAATCAGGTGATGGAACTGAATAAATCCATGTGATGGCTGGAGAGCAGAGAAGTCAAGAACCAAGCCTGTGTTCTTCTATCCTGACAGCGAGCATTTATCAGCCCGCTGGCTTGATAAGGTCATCCTGCTGACTGTTTGCCACTGCTGGTCCACTCTCGGACCACCCAGAAGACTGTCCTGCATACAAAGTCTATCTAGGTATTTACCTTCTCAAACAGATTCTAAACTCAGCAAGACTTTTATTTAGGAAAATAAAGGAATGGTTTTGGACTTTATTTGGATAGTCCAGTATAGATTCTCTACAGACGTTCTAATTGTTGAAACTATCTGTTGAAACTCAGTTGATTCTAAACAGTAGTGGGGTTAGGATTAGGATTAGGACCAGGGTGAGGTTAGGTTTAGGTTTTGGGTTGAGGTTAAGGCTAGGATTAGGATGTGGACCAGGGTGAGGGTTGGGTTTAGGTTTTGGGTTGAGGTTAAGCTTAAGGTTAGGATGTGGACCAGGGTTAGAGTTAGGACCAGGCTAAGGGTTGGGTTTAGGTTTTGGGTTGAAGTTAAGGTTAGGATTAGGATTAGGACCGGGGTGAGGTTGGGTTTAGGTTTTGGGTTGAAGTTAGGTTAGGTAGGCTTGAGGTTTGGGTTTAGTTAGTAGGATCGGATTAGGACCAGGGTGAGGTTGGGTTTAGGTTTTGGGTTGAGGTTAAGGCTAGGGTTAGGATTAGGACCAGGGTGAGGGTTGGGTTTAGGTTTTGGGTTGAAGTTAAGGTTAGGATTAGGATGTGGACCTGGGTGAGGGTTGGGTTTAGGTTTTGGGTTGAGGTTAAGGTTAGGATTAGGATTAGGACCAGGGTGAGGGTTGGGTTTAGGTTTTGGGTTAAGGTTAGGGTTAGGATTTGGAACAGGGTTAGGGCTAGGACCAGGGTAAGGGTTGAGTTTAGGTTTTGGGTTGAGGTTAAGGTTAGGGTTAAGATTAGGGTCAGGTTTAGAGTTAAAGACAATTATGGTCAATTTAGTAGATATTTAGTTGAATGTAACTTGAAAGTAGATTAAGTAACTACAAAGCATCTAAAGTGGACAGTCCAAATGAAGTGTTACCAACGTTTTTGCTGACACTGCGAGATCACAGCTGTACAACTGACTTTTATTCATACATGAAGGAAAAATAAGTAAATTGGACTGTGAGTGGAAAATAAGCAATTAGAGGTGGCATTTTGTGTAATACTCAGTTTAACCAGCAGGAGGCCGCTCGAAAAACACTGAGCAAAAAGCCAGTGGGCCACCAGCTTTGCCCCCATTGTTTGTGTTTATCTGAATATCGTAAAGTGTTTTCTTGGCAAAAACACACTTATTGCTGCGCTTAACAGATTTTCGCATTGAAAATCAAAGACGTTACGGAGGCGGAGCTAAAGTTGATACATTTAGATGGAAGATTAAAGATAAAATGCAGCAACATGAACTAACAAGGTAGAAAAGAAGGTCAGTTTAGATTTCAGGTACACTTTGACATTGAATCCCAATGACTGGGGGTAATTCCAGGTTACTCACATGTGGGAGAGGTTGCTGAGGGATCGGAACATTCGGATGCTGATGTTCGGAATCTCCACCTCCTCCATGCTCCTGCACAACAACGGCATCCCATCATCCCATCAGTCCCATTTCGGAAAACATGGTAACATCCAAAGCCGGATTTAGTAAACGTAGCACTAATGCATTTTTCTGTTTTATCACCGTGCACAAGGGGGCGCCACTGAGCTGCATGCAAATGAACTGTTATGCAAACTAACAACCTGGAGCAACTGATTAATGTGAACTGAGCGGAAATGTTTTTCACAAGTACTTGAGAAGGACACATTTGTTATTAAATGCAAGCTTTTCTTTCATTTCTTCGCCTCAATAATAAGAGTGAAATTACTAAAGAGTGAAATTACTAAAGAAATAAGAGTTACTATAATTACTAATTCCTTAGAAAAGTTTCATTCATTGAGCTGTTTTATTGTTTCTTTTACTGGCCGTTAGCTCTGCCCATATGAAATAATATGCAAAGCATATCGCGGCTGTCGGAACGTTTTTCAGTTTTTGACGTAATTTGAAAATGCCTGTTGCCCTTTGCCCTGTAAATGTCATGATGAATGGACCAAAAGAAACGGCCCAAAAATTACTTGTAAAAACATTTGCTTCCATTGACTTCCATTAAAAGTGAAGTCGTTTTTTTCCTTCTCCTGTAACGTTACCATTTTGGAGATATGAGTTTTTCTTCCGACAACAGCGATGTTTATTAAATGCATGTGAAAATTTATAGAAAACACCAAAAATTCTCAGTCCATTTCCTTCTGTAACTGCTGTTTAAAACACTCTCTGAGTGGATCTGTATGTTGGCGCACGTCGTAGTAAATCTCACATACTTTTTTCTGAATTTGAACTCACTCTGAAGGCTTTGCTCTTTGCTTAGTAAATCTGGCGCAAAGTCTAGTACAAGTTAACGTAACTGAACTTTAAGATTAATGCAAAAAAGCTATAAAAAATCTATTTCTGCAGTTGAATCTTCTCCTTTAACAATGCATGCAAATGAACTGTTATGCAAATTAACAACCTGGAGCAACCAGTTAATATGAACTTTTAGTTCATATTAGTTTTTTTACAATTACTCAAAAAGGACAGATTTGTTATTAAATGCACGATTTTCCTTCATCAGTCACCTCAAAAAAAGAGTGTAATTACGAATTTCTCAGGAAATTTTCATTCATCAAGCAGTTTTCTTTTATTGTTTTTTTTTCACAGGGCGTTAGCTCTTCCCATATTGAATAATATGCAAAGTCTATTTAATAACCCCTTAAAATCCCAGGCTTATTACATACTAAGGCTTATTATTTAGTAACTACTATCTGTAAATTAACGTCTTAGTAAATCTGACGTAAACTAGAGGCAACTTTTTCTGAATTTTAATTTAACTCTCAAGGCTTTGAGCTTGGCTTAGTAAATCTGCCGCGAAGCACTTTTCTGTTTTATCACGTGCACATGGGGGCGCCGCTGAGCTGCATGCAAATGAACTGTTCTGCAAATTAACAGCCCGAAGCAGCCGATTAACGTGAACTGAGCAGAAATGTTTTTTGCGGTTACTTGTAAAGAACAGATTTATTATTAAATGCAAGCTTCAACCTCAAATTAAGAGTATAATTACTAATTTCGTAGGAAATTTTCTTTCATCGAGCCGTTTTCTTTTTCACTGGGCGTTAGCTCTTCCCATATTGAATAACATGCAAAGCACATTTATTAAATGTATGTGAAAATGTATAGAAACTGTAACTGCTGTTTGAAACACTCTCTGAGTGCATGTTAACTGCATGTTAGCGCACACTGTAGTAAATCTGACGTAATTTTTTCTGAATTTTAACGCGTTAAAGGCTTCGCGCTTTCCTTAGCAAATCTGGCGTAAAGGCTAGTGCAAGTAAACATAGCTTAACTTTAAGGTTGATGCAAAAAAGCATCTATTTCTCCTTTAATAACACAATTTTTCAATGCTGTTTTGTTATATAAAGAATGTGATCTGACATAAGCTGGAAATGTGAGCGCTTTTATTTTGTCTGAGTCCCGAACCCATAAACAGGAATATGCTTCACACCTCTGTGATCATTTATTGTTTTTTTATTCAAAACTTTGAAGTGTTCTATGCTGTCGTGTCACTTGAGCGACAGGGTAATAAATCAGAAGCTACATAAGTTTCAGAAACAGGCCTTCAGACTTAATTATGATGCAGCAAATTACTTTGCATACATTTCTTTATTTTCCAAGCGAGTGCGGAGCTGATAGCTTAATTTGACTTTTATAAATTCACGCTTGCAGTTACAAGTACCGGTAAATTGCATAAATTAGCATGAATATGTTTAGTAAAAAAACTGCATAATGTTATTCAAACAGAAAAGAGGGGTTTTTATGCATCTGGAAAAGGTCATTAGAAAAATACCTCAGACACAAACAGCAGCTAAAGTCGGATTTGAGTTTTTTTCATGCTTTTTTCACCATTTTCTACATTTTACAATATTAGACAAAAGTCAAAATAACACATACAGGCCAAAGAATCATTTTCAGCACCTTTACTTTTAAATAAAAGTGTATCTCAAGCATTTAAGCAAAAGCCTTTGGATCAATTTGTCTTTAAGTTCATGCTGAACAAATTCAATCCAGTAGTGACGCCACAGCACATCCACTTTCAGTTCCCTAAGCGTTTTTTCTTTTTGTATATGCGGAAAAAAACAACGTGACGTTGAAATCTGATGGGTATTCAGACATATGGCCTGCAGTGTGAAGGAAACTGGCGGCGAAGCTAAAGAAAAGGCTGAATAACACGTTTTTCCAGTGAGCTTCTGCGGTGCTTCATTATCTTGTCATGTCACGGTCAGGATTCCTCATTAACGTGGTGAATAGTCTAATCAATAGTTCGATCAGTCGGCTCTGAAAGATAAAAAGCAGAGGACGCAGCTCACTCACAGCGACTGGAGGTTGACGAAACTGTCGAACTGGTTTTCATAGACATGCGTCAGGGGGTTGTTGGAGATGTTCCTGAATAAACACACATACAGGCAGGTAGAAGAAAGTGCTCAGCAGTTAATGCCAGTGATTCATAACACCTGTCACGTCGTTTCAACATTGTTCACAGCCAATCAGTGCAGCGTCTGTGAGGCCAATGCGCTGAAAAAGTGTAGAAAAGTCAGAGATCTTTAAAGCCTGAGCTCAGTCAAGGTTATATATGTAGGGCTACAAAACAAAACTCTGACTCTTTTAACTTTTTCTGCACTTTAAGGCTCTCAGTGTGTAACAGAAGCCCGATTGGAGCTGGATTAGATTTCCCAGAGCTTCAGTTTGTGAGACTTGACTGGTGCGGGATAAAGTGCTTCTCTATTGGAGCATTTGTAAACTCTTAGGCCCAATTCCATTTCTACCCCTACCCCTTGTGTTCGAGTGTCACCCTCACCCCTTGGAACTGAGTTATAGGGTAGTGGTTGAAATCCTCCCTCTGAAATGGGACCCTCAAATAAAAAGAGCATCACTTCATTAACAGCTACCAGCGCTGCTCTGTAGGCGACCCTGCCAGTCTGCAGTGACAGCAGAGGAGGGTAAAGTTCAGCTCCTCACTGCTGGGCTTTAGTTACATTTAGGGCATCATATGCCTTCAAAGAGGGGGGCAATTATTTATTATCGCCCACCCCTAATTCTTCAGTGATATGAAGCTGAAGTCAGATATTCACCAGATTCTCGTTTGAATTTACCCGTTCCACCTTAAATAATACAGCAGCTCTGATGCCTGAGGTGCCAGAATGTAACTGCTGGACTATTTAAGGTGGAACAGGAACTTTAGCTACCAAGAAATCAACAAACTACTCGTGACTTTTATGCTTGTTATGAAGAAAAGGACCATAATATACTGAGACGGCATTAAACTAAGAGAATACGATGATTATTGTAATTTTCTAACTGAGAAAAGTCCCACATTTGTTGTTTTCTTTGGTCGGTTTTACTTTTATTCTCCTAACTCTCCACTTGGAGTGTGTCTCCAAAACCTCCGTTTGGAGGGCCATGTAGCCCCAACACTTCGCCCTACCCCTCTATCTTAACAAGGGACACCCTATCCCTAGATGTGAACCCTCAAAACGGAGGGCTAAGGGCTAAATGGTAGGGGCGAGGGGTGAAATTGGATTGGGCCACTAAGAAGTTGCACTTGAACCTCTTACAGATTTGCACGGACCACTGGTACATGTTCGCCAGTCAAAATATTCTCTGTTACCATGGAGACACACTAGACCAAGGCAAATAATGCCCCAATGGTAAACATATCAACAGTGCTTCAATTTATTTCTCATATAGGGTAAAAATAAATTATAACGATAAGTCTGTAGGGAATCTGTAGGGAATACATTCTCAGTTAGCAAACAACAATATATCATTTATTGTAGAAAAATAACTGGTAGTTACGATTTGGTGACATAATTTTTGATTGAACAAGGTAATAAAGATGATTAGATTCATACTAGATTCAAATCAGTAGTCCGAACAGTCTGGCAGAGATTTTAATCCAGTATGAATCTGCAGTGTGTGTAGTTTTACAGTCTGACAGTAATAATTGTGGAGTGATTTTAATCCAGTATGAATCTGCAGTGTGTGTAGTTTTACAGTCTGACAGTAATAATTGTGGAGTGATTTTAATCCAGTATGAATCTGCAGTGTGTGTAGTTTTACAGTCTGACAGTAATAATTGTGGAGTGATTTTAATCCAGTATGAATCTGCAGTGTGTGTAGTTTTACAGTCTGACTGTAATAATTGTGATTTTAATCCAGTATGAATCTGCAGTGTGTGTAGTTTTACAGTCTGACAGTAATAATTGTGGAGTGATTTTAATCCAGTATGAATCTGCAGTGTGTAGTTTTACAGTCTGACTATAATAATTGTGGAGTGATTTTAATCCAGTATGAATCTGCAGTGTGTGTAGTTTTACAGTCTGACAGTAATAATTGTGGAGTGATTTTAATCCAGTATGAATCTGCAGTGTGTGTAGTTTTACAGTCTGACTATAATAATTGTGGAGTGATTTTAATCCAGTATGAATCTGCAGTGTGACAGTAATAAAGGTAATAAAATGCATTGAGAGGAATGAGAAAAGCAGAAACTCACAGCTGCTTGAGGTTCTGGAGGTTCTGGAAAAGAGATGGAGGAAGATCCAGAATCTGATTGACAGACAGATCCCTAGAAAAGAGGGGAAGTGATAGAGCATTTTATTACAGTCAGATCTGCTGGATCATCATAAAAACCATAAAAACAAGCAGGACGACTGAAGAGGAGCTGTAAATGGGTGTCAGTGAAACTGAGTCACTGATAAAGCCTGAAGCTCTGTGTGCATTTAAAAGCTGCCGTTACTGATAGCTCATATCTCATAAAAGAAAAATATCAAAGCTTTATGAATTTATCTTTCTCCCTCTGTTTCAGTCTCGCTCTCTCTTTATCTCGCCCGCTCTCACTAAAGCAATATTACTGGAAGGAAATATTAAAGTCCTTAGTTTCCTGGTACAGGAACCTCTCGTCATAATGTATTCGTGAGTTCAGGGCTGTTTTATTATATGTGTCACATAATGTGGAGGGTTTTTGTGTGAATCTCTTTGTCTTTTCTTTCTCTCTCTCTTACTCTCCTTTTCATTCTCTCTCCTTTCTTTTACGCTGGCGTTTTCTGTCTCCTCTTGCTCTCTTTTTCTCTACCTCTCTCTGACTCTCCTCACTCTCTCACTTTCTCCTCTGTTTCCCTCTCTCTCTTTCCCTTTCATTCTCTTTTCCACCCCTCTCCTCACTCTCACTTTCTCTCTCTCTTTTATGTCCTTTTCCTTCTTTTCTGTCCTTCGCTTCCTTCTTTCTTTCTTGTTGTGTTACTCTCTCTCTCTCTCTCTCTCTCTCTCTCTCTCTCGCTCTCTCTCTCTATCTCACTCACTCACACTAAAGAAATATTATTAGAAAGTAATAATAGCAGTATTAAATGTTCTTGTACTGAAACTGTGTGTGTGTGTGTGTGTGTGTGTGTGTGTGTGTGTGTAAACACTCACAGGTCTATGAGTCGGTGCATATTGGAGAACGTTCCGTCCTCGATGGTGCTGATGCGGTTCCTCCTTAAAGCTCTGAAACACAAACATAGCCTACAGCTCAGTGTTTAACTTTAACTCTCTTCTGCTGGAGTAAAATACATATGAATCTATATGCAAATATATGCTAATAAAGCCCTTCAGTTCCTCTGGACCCTCTGATTGAGTCTGAGCTGCTGATTGAGTGCTGTAAGAGATCTACACACTCATGAATCAGACCAGCGCTGGGACACACACTCCACAACAGAGTGTCTCTTATAGAAGACGGGATTTCAAATGAAATATGTGCTCCCCGGCCACTTTATTAGAAACCCCTCTCTTCAATGTAATCCTGTTATCTTACACTGAAAGTTATGAATGTTTTTCCTTTTTCCTCTTCCTGTAAAGTTGTAGTACAAGGCTGCAAATGTGATTATACAACAGCTTGGTTTTCGATTTCAGAGGCTAGTGAGTGGAACTACACAGTGTTTCTAATAAAGTGGCCAGCGAGTGGAACCACAGTGTAGGTGTTTCTAATAAAATGGCCAGTTAGTGTAAGCGCAAGGTGGGTGCTTCTAATAAAGTGGCCAGAGAGTGGAACCACAAGGTGGGTGTTTCTAATAAAGTGGCCAGTGAGTGGAAGCATAGTGTAGGTGTTTCTAATAAAGTGGCCAGAGAGTGGAAGTACACAGTGGGAGTTTCTAATAAAGTGGCCAGTTAATGGAAGCACAAGGTAGTGTTTCCAATAAAGTGGTCAGTTAGTGAAAGGTGGGTGTTTCCAATAAAGTGGCCTGTTAATGGAAGCACAAGGTAGTGTTTCTAATAAAGTGGCCAGTTAGTGAAAGGTGGGTGTTTCTAATAAAGTGGCCAGTGAGTGGAAGCACAAGGTGGGTGTTTCTAATAAAGTGGCCAGTTAGTGAAAGGTGGTGTTTCTAATATAGTGGCCAGTTAATGGAAGCACAAGGTAGGTGTTTCTAATAAAGTGGCCAGTTAGTGAAAGGTGGTGTTTCTAATAAAGAGGCCAGCGAATGTAAGCACAAGGTAGGTGTTTCTAATAAATTGGCCAGTGAGCGTATATCTGTGTGTAATAGAAGTAAAGGTTTCTTTAGTCTGCGTTGGTGATGCAGCACACCTGAGCTGCTCTTGATGTTCCTTGAAAGTTCCCCCGTCTGATAGCTCGGCTTTTCTGCTGCATGACGTAAGATTGGATTTTGATATTCAGTGTGAATTTTGTCTGGGCTCCGTCTGAAATACCTGGCTACCCCCGGCTCTTACGCACCATCTGCTTCCATGATAAAATGATTCCACACAGGGATTTGAGTTTCCGCTGCGGATTCGATTTAAGGCACGTCCCGAATGTACGGTATGATTAGATTCGGAAGTCAATTGATTTTAAAGAGAGTTTGTAATAGATTTCTCTGAATCATGTTTGGTTTAAGGACACTCCACGTGTGCCAAACTCAAACTCAAACCCCGAGTCCACATGAATCTCTGTTGAACTCTGTTTTTTTTAAAAACTTTAAACATTTTTTTCCCAAAAACACTGCAAAAAAGAAACTCCCTCTGAGAGGTGGTTTAGGGGTGGTGTAGGAGATTCGGTGCAAAACTAAAAGTAAATATGTGGCATTTTAATATTATTATTACTATTATTATAATTATCAGTACTGGTTCATAGCAATTAGTGTTATTTAGATTATTATTCTGTTCTGAATTGTGTAATTTAGGTTCTAAAGCTGAAATTGTGCGACAGAAATGCTCCAAAATGATCATTTTTTTAAATTTTCAGTTCATAATGACTCATGATTTGAATTAATAATTGCTTTGCTCCCTTTTCCTGGTAGTGATCTGCTCATAATACTCTGAGACGCACAGCAATCACATCCTCTCCTTCATCTCCTGATCTGTCTGGTAGTTTGTACTCACTGTGTTTGCTGTGGGGGTTTGATTCACTCTGCTGTGGTGATAACAGAGTTTCTATGGTTGCTGTATTTGATCCCTAAAGTCGTCGACTTAAAGCGCCTTTTGTTTCCAAACTGATGAACTAAACTAAAAGCTTTTTTGACGAAAGCTCCACTGACCATATAGTTCTACAGTTACAGACTGCAGTCCATCTGTTTCTCTGCACACATTGTTGGCCTGTTCTTCAGTGGTCAGGACCCCCTCAAGACCCTCACAGAGCAGGTACTATTTGGGTGGTGGGTCATTCTCAGCACTGCAGTAACACTGACGTGGTGGTGGTGTGTTAGTGTGTGTTGCGCTGGTCTGAGTGGATCAGACACAGCAGTGCTGCTGGAGTTTTTAAACACCTCAGTGTCACTGCTGGACTGAGAATAGTCCACCAACCAAAAATATCCAGCCAACAGCGTCCTGTGGGCAGCGTCCTGTGGGCAGCATCCTGTGGGCAGCGCCCTGTGACCACTGATGAAGGACTAGAGGATGACCAACACAAACTGTGCAGCAGCAGATGTAGTGTGAGTACTATTTTCATTAGTGTGTAAATTTAGGGCTTAGTGTTCGGGACAGACGCCTCCCAATAGAAAGGGAAGATTCTGTATATATTCAGCTTGTTACTGTCTCTGTTAGTATCCTGGGTTTGAACAGATCACAGTATAATCCTCATAAATACAGTAACTACATCTATGTAACTCAGAGTCTTGGAAACAAAACCCTGGAAGAGCCTTGATACGTCTCAGTGCTCTCCTCCCTTCTGTGTTCTACATGAACGTTAGTGACTTAGGTAAGAGGATGTATTGATTTAGGCCTCATAATTAATTATTGATTTGTTTAATCATATTTATATATATTTAACTGTGAGACACTTTATTAGAAACACTCATCTTGTGCTTCCACTAACTGGCCACTTTATTAGAAACACCCACCCCGTGCTTCCACTCACTGGCCACTTTATTAGAAACACCCACCTTGTGCTTCCACTCAATGGCCACTTTATTAGAAACACCTACCTTGTGCTTCCACTCACTGGCCACTTTAATAGAAACACCCACCTTGTGTTTCCACTCACTGGCCACTTTATTAGAAACACCCACCTTGTGCTTCCACTCACTGGCCACTTTATTAGAAACACCTACCTTGTGCTTCCACTCACTAGCCACTTTAATAGAAACACCCACCTTGTGCTTCCACTCACTGGCCACTTTATTAGAAACACCCACCTTGTGCTTCCACTCACTGGCCACTTTATTAGAAACACCCACCTTGTGCTTCCACTCACTGGCCACTTTATTAGAAACACCCACCTTGTGCTTCCATTCACTGGCCACTATATTAGAAACACCCACCTTGTGCTTCCACTCACTGGCCACTTTATTAGAAACACCCACCTTGTGCTTCCACTCAGTGGCCACTTTAATAGAAACACCCACCTTGTGCTTCCACTCACTGGCCACTTTATTAGAAACACCCACCTTGTGCTTCCACTCACTGGCCACTTTAATAGAAACACCCACCTTGTGCTTCCACTCACTGGCCACTTTATTAGAAACACCCACCTTGTGCTTCCACTCACTGGCCACTTTAATAGAAACACCCACCTTGTGCTTCCACTCACTGGCCACTATATTAGAAACACCCACCCTGTGCTTCCACTCACTGGCCATTTTATTAGAAACACCCACCTTGTGCTTCCACTCACTGGCCACTTTAATAGAAACACCCACCTTGTGCTTCCACTCACTGGCCACTATATTAGAAACACCCACCTTGTGCTTCCACTCACTGGCCATTTTATTAGAAACACCCACCTTGTGCTTCCACACACTAGCCACTTTATTAGAAACACCCACCTTTTGCTTCCACTCACTGGCCACTATATTAGAAACACCCACCTTGTGCTTCCACTCAGTGGCCACTATATTAGAAACACCCACCCTGTGCTTCCATTAACTGGCCACTTTATTAGAAACACCCACCCTGTGCTTACACTCACTGGCCACTTTATTAGAAACACCCACCTTGTGCTTCCACTCACTGGCCACTATATTAGAAACACCCACCCTGTGCTTCCACTCAGTGGCCACTTTATTAGAAACACCCACCTTTTGCTTCCACTCACTGGCCACTTTATTAGAAACACCCACCTTGTGCTTCCACTCACTGGCCACTTTATTAGAAACACCCACCTTTTGCTTCCACTCACTGGCCACTATATTAGAAACACCCACCCTGTGCTTCCACTCAGTGGCCACTTTATTAGAAACACCCACCTTGTGCTTCCATCAACTGGCCACTATATTAGAAACACCCACCCTGTGCTTCCACTCAATGGCCACTTTATTAGAAACACCCACCTTGTGCTTCCACTCACTGGCCACTATATTAGAGATAATGTGTCCTCATTAGGCCAACATCTTTCACCTGTGTGAACGTGGAGCTTATAGAGGATTTTTCAGTGAGTAATTTTTCTCACAGAATGTTTTCTTACAATTTTCTTAGCAATTTCGCCTTGAAATAATTTGTTTTGAGGGTCATTCATTCATTCATTCATTCATCATCTTTAACCGCTTAATTAAGTAGCAATTGGGAGAGCAGAGAATCCCAGACCACTCTGTCCCCCGCACCTTCCTCCAGCTCATTCTGGGGGACGACTCCAGGAACTCCTTCCAGTAGGCTGTGCCTAGTAAACCCCCACCGGGAGGCGTCCAGGGGGCATTCTGATCAGATTCCTGAACCCCCTTATCTGGCTTCTCTCAATGTGGAGGAGTAGCGGCTCTACTCTGACCCCCTCCCGGATGACCGAGCCCCTCACCCTGTCAGTAGAGTGTAGCCCACCACCCTGTGAAGAAAGCTCATTTCCGCTGCTTGTATCTGTGATCTTATTCTTCCGGTCATTTCCCACAGCTCATGACCACAGGTGAGGGTTGAGATATAGACTGACCGGTAACCGGTAACCCTCTTCACCACTACAGTCTGGTACAGTGACCGCATTTCTGCTGCCGCCTATTCCAGCCTGTGGCTGATCTCACAAACCCTATTCCCATCACTTGTCAACAAGACCCTGAGATACTTAAACCCCCCCACCTGGGGCAGGTCCTCTCCCC